ACTAACTGTAATCTTTACACTAAATTGAGATTTTTTTTAAATTAAAGAATGAAAGAAAATACAGGTTTAAGTAATAATAAAAAACTTTCTCTTTATATTTATATTAACATCATTTTGTAAAAAGAAACAAATGTAATTTATTGTTCTCTAAATTTTGCTTGTTTAAATTCATAATTTGCATCAGGCTACTTTCAGATAGAAATTAGTTTAGTAAAAAATGTGGAAAATCCTTATTTCATAATAGGTAATATTCATAATAGTTAATATACATAATAGTTAATAACTAAAAAATATCTTTAGTGAAATGTCTACACAGAAAAATACTAAAACATTGCACTAGAAGCCAATTTTTAAAAGGAAGTGTTATCTCTAGTTCCTAGGTAGTATTGGCTGCACCTTCTATAACTTCTTACGAGATTTCATAATTGGCAGGTTTAAGGCTCTTTTAGTAATTTCTTTTCATTAGCTGAAAGAATACAAGCTTCTTTTTTGTGTCCCTTTTTAATTTTTTGATGCTTTTCAATCTGTTAACCTTGAGTATCCAGGTTATGGTGTGGGCTAAAGGTAATAAAACTGGCACAAAGACCAGTTCTGTGATCTGATTTTGTCTCAAGAGGTTATTATTTCAAGTCAGTTCCACACAGATTAAATTTAGTGTAGGTAAATGGACATACTGTTACAAAAAAAAAAAAAAAACAAACCCAGAATTTTCTCTTACAAAAGTTCTTATGCTCCATTAGACCAGTGTGTTTTTATCTTAATGCAGTCCATCTGAGCTGATGTGGTTTTCAGCTGCATCCCTGAGAGCTCTTGACTTTGCAAGGTGCATTGGTAGCAACCTTTCTCCAGTTACTAGAGCTCTGTCTTGCACACTGAGCTTACACACCTGGAAAAACATCACAAAGACTGACCAGCACAGGAGGAGTTGCATTTTTCTCCTTACAAAACTTTACTAAAGGAATTTTAGTTTATAAATAGGAGAGCGCTTTTACTGGGCATAAGGATACATACACACAAAAACCAACCCGAGAATGACAAAAACCCAACAAACCAAAACAAACAAAGAAGAGATTCAGCAGAGAAATCGAACCCTGGCTAACACAAACCCTTTATTTTTCTTGCACTAAGTTACCAATCTGAAATTAGGAAAAGAGAGAACTGATTGTATACACACAACACTGGATTAAAGCAGAAATCACCAAAGTGTACCAGGCTGTGGGACAGAGGAAGCCTAACAGAACAAAGCTGTACCCAGTGCCTTAGTGAGATATGTCTGAAACAAGAATAGAACAATAAATACACTGAAAATGTAGTCAGTATCGCTGCTGCCATTTCCCTCTTCTTCTTGGAAGATAAAGAAGAAATACAATATGTCTTAAAGACAAACTGTAGGGCAAAGAGACAAATACCAGGCATGTTGCTAGAGAAATGTTTCAAAAATTCATAACTCTAAAGCCAGAGCTGAACAAGCCCAGTGATGCTAAACATCCTAGTCTGCCAGATATTCCAGATTCACAAACCTCTCTTTCCAACCTCCAGAGCAATCCCTAAGGACACAGTTGAGTGGAAATGGCCAGCTTTAGCAAAGTCCCTGAACTGGAGCTGCTGTGCTTGACGTTCACGCTGCTCTGGTACGTTATGGGCAGACATGGCCTGTGTTTCTCATGCAAAGGAGTAAGAGCACCCACTATTTCTAATATTCTGTGTAGGCTTCCAGTTTCATGGGATATACCCTAAGGGGTAAACAGGCAGCAGCTGGGCAGGGAGTGGGAGGGGAAGATCAGGGTAGAGTTTGACTCAGCCATCCCCTACTCACTGACTCATGTGCTGGTGTAGAAGAAAATGCTATAATTTGTTGCTGGTTGTAGTCAGTTAAAAGTTACCTCTGATACAGAGAAGCAATGAACACTCTCAAAAGAATGGAAAGATTGATATGCTTTCCGTGCTTTTAAGTAACATTTTTGGGATCAAGGATGTTTTCTGTGCCTGTCTTTTAAAAGACTCAAATTAAAACCTAGGAGGCTTGGGGGCTTTCTACTTCCCTGTAAATTATTTCCCAGCACTCTTGTTGTACTTTAGAAGGAAATCAACTATTAACCTGCCTTTTTTTTTTTTTTTAAAGAAGAGACAGTAACAACAAAACAGCTGAAAGTCACATTTCCATCAGCAGTAAAACGTTTTTGTAGCCTTGCTATATATATGTGCCACTGCTAGTCAGTGGCTGTTTCATCACAACTAAACTTTATAGGGTAATTACCACCGTTACTTATATTAGAGCTTAATTATCAGGAGGCTTATTAAGCTTAAATCTTCTCTAACTATTTGGCCAAGAGAGCTGCACTGGATATTTTATCCCACCTATTCATTACTTAAACAGCAGTCACATTGTATGTGCAAGTGTTAGAGAACAGCAAAAGTACCTGTACAGAAAGCCAAACTTTCATCCTTATTTCTCACAAAATGTCCTATTCAGTTCTGGAAGAGTTTCCATGAAACACAGCTCCCATTTACAAGTGACTGTATCCTTATCACAGGTACTCCACCTTCCCACAGTGTTATGATTCACATACAATGTATTTTCTCCCCAGTTTCAACATCCATCAATTAATGAAACTAGATTCCATTTAACCAATCAAATGCATTAAAGCAATAAAGGGAAACTTCTCATTTCAAGTTCTCATTGAATGAAAAAAAATAAAACCCCAGAACATTTTGAATACAACAAAACCAGAGTTTTAAAGACCTTTTAAAGAAGATCTTTGAGACTATTCTGCCAAATAAATCACTTGGCAAAGTGATGTAAATTCATTAAATACTAACAGAAAATCATACAAATGTGTAAAGTAACATTTGTCTGTATCATCACCATCATCTCTCCTAAACTCCCCATCCTCATGGGATCACCAAGAGCCTTGTAGCTTCTCCTTAGGCTATGCTCCCACCTTTATCTTACCATCTGTCCTTCTCTGAAAACTGATATTTTTTAATGACCGTCTTTGCTTTACATAAAGACCTATGTTTAGATCACAATTCCAGAACCCTTAGTGTGATTTCAGAAGCTCACAGGTATACTCTGTGGATCAATGCTGAGGCTGAGATGTGGCATCTGATTTTCTAATTTATTTGAGGTATTTAAATCAATGTTGTGCACACCTGTATATTTGCAAAATGCTACAGTGCAGAAACTGAACTTTAATTTTGCTTTTTTTTCACCCCAACTAAATCCACAAATGTCTATAATTCAGTAAAGACCAGTTTATCCTGGTTCTATCTTTTAGTCTTGTTACACTCAGGAGAGTGCCTTTTGCTGTTTATGAAAATGCTTAGACACTTTGCTGAAAATCTGTTGTGAGTTGCACCACTATAAGCAGCCCTTGGGGTTCTCCAGATAAATGGAAACTGTCTCCTCTGTGTCTGCTGACTGAGTATTGCTATTTTGCTTAGCATTCATCTGAAACTTGGAAGTTAATTTTTTTTACAATACCTCAAAAGTAACCACTAGTTCCTCATGTCCTTTTTTGGAATTAAAAAAGTCATTAGGATTGAAAAGAAATGTTTGAGATTTAAACCTGTTATGCTTTAGAAGTCAAATAATAAAAATTTGAACTGTCCATATATTATTCAAGTGAGAAGAACAGGTGAGAATCTTAGTTGAGACAAAGCAACCCATCTACAATCACCCATGAAGTCCTGTTTATATAAAAAAAGAGAAGCATTCCCATAGGATTCCCTGCCCTCAAAGCTACTCTTCCAGCTCTCTCAGTCTTTCCATCTGTGTTACATCCCTTGAAGGGCAAAGTATTACCTTCTGCTATTACATTTGGATACAGATACGTACTCGAAGTTAGAAGCAAATATTATTCATGCATTTTGTTTCCATAAAGAAGCTAAATAACTTTCTACAACTACCCCAACTAAATACTGGTAATTAAATCTACCTGTCCACAATAAATTCAGCCTACCTACAGCAAGATTCAATGCATTGATAGAGCTATTACATTTTTATTATTACTCCTTTAGCTCCTGTGTCCTTTTGCGTTTGAGCCATCACATCCCACTGGTGCAGTGCTGTAATGCAGTCTTGGCACTACAGGCTCAGACATCCAGTTCCTGGAACACAACTGGGAACCTTGTGTATGGCACACATGCCAAGCAGAGGGAAAGTGTGCAGGGCTGTAACCAGTTCCCTTGGTAACCAAGTGGTATTTTAAAAGAGAAAGTGGTACTGTGGTGTTAAGTAAATAAATGCACACAATAAAGGCCCACACACGAGTAACTTTCGTAGATACTGCTGACAGTAGAGAGCAGCAGAACATGTAAATTCATGTGCCTTGGACCTGTGAGGAAACAGAAAAATTTCTCCCCAATTAGATGGTCAAATAATGCCCTCATTCACAAGTTCCTTTTAGGCAGCCAGGAACACTCTGCCTCCCAGCCCTTTTCCTCTTACCTCACCACTACTTTCCCAACTCTCTTTCACATTACAAACAGCTACTAAGCAACAGGAGGTTTGCAGAGAATGAGTCACTCTCATGTGGCTGATGGGCTGAGTGCAGGATGGAGATTAGTGACCTGACAAGGCACAGCCCAGAGCCATTGTGCTTCCAGAAAACCAAAGTGGTCACTGAATGCAGCAAAACTTAATATCCTATAAGTGCTTTAAAAGGATGTAATTGTAAGTGATGCCTTATAATTCTCACAGACAGATGTGTGAGCCGACAAAGAACACTGCTGTATGTTAGATGCAAAGGTGACATAAGTATTCCATATCAAAAAGGTATTCCCTTAAAGTTAATTAACCATTTATTAAATTAGATTTTGTTTAGATGGTAATATGAAATCCTTGTGCTTTGGACTGATAGTAAAAATTTGGGGAACCACACAAGGTCAGTCAGTTCCCAATGTAAGCAACAGATTTTGACATAACTGCAAGTGTATCTCAAAACAAAACTCCCTCCGAACGAAGGTTGAACTTTCCTTTTTTTTTTGTCCCCTTTAAGAGAATAACAGAAAAGAGAAAATTTATCTGAAAAAGGACTCAGGAGTTTATCTGGACCACTCCCTTATCTCCAGGGAGGACTCACTTCTACTTCAGATCTGATACAGGTTTGTCTGATTCTTTCCCCAGCAGTATTTGTATCAGACATTTTGATGGTTCATTTATCACTGTTAACTCAAGAAAAACTCCCAGGGCACCAGACAGAGCCATTAATCCTTGCAGTATGCTCTGCAGTGCTTAGTGGCAGGGCCCCTAATGAGGACTGCCCAAAGCTTATCTGCAGCATAGACCCCTCAGTCATGAATCAACTGAGACACCACAGTATCTAGAAAAGAGCTGTGACTTGTGAATATGAAGAATCTTGGTGCCTGCATGAAAACCTGAGAGGGAAGCTCTTTAGGTTACCCATAAAGTCCTAGAGTGGCTGAATATCCACAGGGAAATTCAGAAGAGAAATGAACAGAAGTGTTTTCCCTCTTAGAGTTTGGTAGAAACCAAACCTACAAGATCCTTAGCAAAGTACATTTTAACCTGTTCATTGCCCAGTCTCTTTATAACTGGGTTGATTCAGTTTCCTAGTCTTAATTAGAACTATCTTGTTAAAAATAATTTAATAATATACTCATAAAAATATTGAAATTTGCAGTACCTGCTGTCTTTGAATATTTAAATGAGCTAACTGAGACAAATATTATCAGAAAGACAAACTACAGTGTTATTGGGAAAACAGATTTTGAAGACTGATTCCAGAGTTCAAATGGAAGAAAAAATTACAGAGTTAAACCAGCCTAAATGAACAGACCACATTTCCATTTTTTCCAGATTTCAAATAAAAACAACCTACAGCTTGTAAGTAATCCACTGAACAGCAGTTCTGAGATTACTTTCAAATTATTAAAAAAAAAAATTGTTAGCTGCTCAGACTTCTCACAGGCAATTCCAAATCAAAAAGTTAAAGAAATAGTAAACTGTGAAGTATTGATGCACTTCAAAATCATAAAAGTTACTAACATAAGACTTTGTTATGCTATTTAGGAGCCTGAAGCAGTTCCACAAATGTGTATACACAAGTGTACATGACCATCAGGGCTCAGGGAGAGGTGCTTGACATCAGATTATTCTCCAGTCCAGAAAACAAAAACATACTGGTCTAAGATTAGTAGGTTATTAATTTAAATGGTTAGAAGGCTGAATATCAAATAAAATACTTGAACATCAACAAACCAATCCTTGATATGTTCAAAAAACTTGTAATGGTTTAAGAAACTAAACTATGAAATAATACAGCTACACAACACAATAAGTCATTTAACGACATTTTGGCCTTAGTGTGTGTTTCAAGCTGCAGTTCATTTAAATAAAAACAGTTTCTACCTGAATCAATTTGGTTTTTATCAATGCCTGCTAACACAAATTCAGATAAAGTATATATTTTGTGATTATGGTAATCTCTCCACACTACTACACCCAAGTTATGAATGTAAATGAAATATAATCTGTAATTCGCAGAAAAAATCATTTTGTTAACCATCTCACCTTCTGGAGCATTGCTAATTTTCAAGGTTTTATTTTGCTCCTATACTGTTTTATAGTCACTAAACACTAACAGAGATTCTCAAATCTTTTAGGAGTTAAAAGAGCAGCATTCAGCTTCCAATAATGAACCAGTAATTATCACAGCCTCACCAACACTCATCCAACCAAGCATGGTTATAGCAAGTTTATTTTTTACTTTGTGCTCACACAGGGGAGTAAACGTGATGAACCAAAGTTGATCCATCTTCTTTTATCAGTGGAGCACTTGTCTGGTTTTTTACTCCACACTTGCATTCTGCTATAATCTTCTTTAGGTGAAGTTCTACCAAATTCACAGTTTGCCTCCAGTAATTTTCCTGCAGAATTAGAGCCTCACAAATACCAGAACATCTGAGTTACTGCATAGTACCACAATTTTTTAAAAATAAAGGCAAGTTCTTACTAGTTGCAGCCATCATGTTGCATTCACCATGTTGCATTCACATGCTTACCAGCAGCCATTAGATGTAATGCACCATCTGTGCATGTGGATTAATAGCAGTGCTTCTGGGAGGAGCTTCAAACTAGCATAAGAGAACAGTCTGTAAGTGGTTACTGATGTCCTGATACCACATAACTATGTCTTATGGCAACTTTCCAGAGAACCTGCACCTTACTTCTATAAACAACCTTCCTAAACAATACCACCACAATAAAGAACCCTCTAACACTTTCTCCTAAGCATTTTTTCTTACTAAGCTTCTGACTAACATTTAATGAGATTCAATAGGTTTGAAGGGCCTAATTTTGTGAAAAAGTCTCTCTTTCAGAAGTTTGCAGTACCACTTTGTACTTGTTTTTTTTTCTTGTTTTGGTTTGGTTTGGGGGAGGGAGGTTGGGAAGGGGTTGTTTGGGGGGTTTTTTGGTGGTTTCTTGGGGGGGGGGGCAGTTGTTTTTGTTTGGCTTTTTTGTATTGTTTGGTTTTTTTTGTTTGTTTTTTTTTTAAAGAACTTCAACTCAGTTTTCAGTTTTGCACATGGAGTTTTACATTTGGAACTAATTATAGGTGTTATGTAACTACCCACCTGATGTGCAGGTAGCTCAGAGATTTTGCTTGAATTCAGTAAGATTACTCTCCTATCATTGTAAAGGAAAAGGGGCTAATTTGACACAGGTATTTTACTTGTGAGAAATGCCTTGATGAGTTGCATTTAATATGAAGAGCTTTCTAATCATGTAAATTCAAGGCATTCTGTCAGAGGATATGTCTGAATCACATGTATTTGGTTTAACTAATACAGGAAAAATGACAGCAACTTCAGGGCTCTGTCTTCATCTTACGAAAGTAATTATAGTAAAATATTACTGTCACAAGTCCTCAATGTATCAGGCAATGTCTAAGGAGCTTTTAATAGTAGAATATAGCTCCATTTTACAGCTTTAGATGTTCTCTGGTGCAACTGGAGACAACAGTCAATGCCCAAAAGAAAAGAACATTTTTGCTTGATTCATTTGTGCACTGGACTCACAAATTTCTCTGTGCTACAGAATGAAACATAGATCTCAGTAAGGGTGCTAAAAGAACTGTATTAGTAATGGTTTGCATGTTAGTTTGCTTGGAAATGAAATGCTTCAAAGCAGGACAAATATTCAATCCACTGGCTTATTTATTTGTAGAACAAACACTCATGGTATATTATCATACTTCTTTACTTTGTATACAATTTCTGCTTTTTTTTGTGGTTAGGGTCTCTAAAGAGTTTTTGTTGATACTGAGTCTTAACCCTTCTACTAGTCTAAAACATCAGCAATATTCAGAACTACTCCATTTATTCCCTGGTTTATGGTGTTAAAATTGTCAGCAAAAAGCAACCTTTGCAACTTTATTATGAACTGTCCCACAAGGAACTAAACCAATAAGGCCTGATTTCACATCCAAAATGGTTCCATCCCTCCCCAGTCACCAAAATACCTCCAGCTTACCTCCCTTACCATCTTGCAAGGCTTGCTAACCCGTAACACCTCCAGTTCCTGTCACATCCACTTGCTCTTCCCCATCCTCTCTCCTTCCAGTGAGTGTCAGAACAGTCAGTGTGGTGAGGTCCCAACCATCCCTGCGTACAGCCAACCACAATAACAAAGAGCTCCTGAGCTTTTCCTGCTGACTTTTCCTCAGCTGGCAACAATAAGTGGGGCCTCATCTCTACCTGGCTGATTTCCCCCAGCTTTTAGGAATTTGTATCTATGAGGTCTTCACCACTCTATCAAGTTTAGCAGAATGGAAAAAAAGGTAATCACACAAACTGTATTTCCTTGGAAAGGCCAAAGCCAGCACCATTTAAAAGTCTTGCATGTAGACACCTCTTTCTGGTTTTGCTACTGTTATTCAGTGTTATGCCTCAGTGATGTCAGTGGCTCTCCCTGGAGGACACTGTTTATTTTATGTAGAAGTAGTGTAAGAAATCATTCATGCAGGCATTCATGCAAGCAATCATTCAGCTTTCAAACAATGCCGATGCTTTTCCTCTTTTTTCTGCACTCAGTCACTCAACTGCCATGAATGAATTAACAACATGAAAAATGTGGGGTGTGCTGAAAGTACAAATAAAAGCATCCACCACAATGTTCATATTGATTTCAGTTCAGAAGAAAATTAAAAATACTTGCCTGAAAACCCAGATGTACAGCCAGTAAATAATAACATGGTGCAAACGCATTCCCATTAAGAAAAGTCCAACCAGGAAAAGCACGATGGAACAGTTCAATTCTACATACTCAGAGTACTTTGAATTTTTTTACAAAAGTCAATGCAAACAGTCTTCCATCTCCACCACAGACTCACATTGTAAAACAGTAGCTGAGAATGTTTTATTGGTTGAGAAGTACAAGTAGGCAAGTACTTGTGTTCAGTTTGATGACAGATTTCAAGGGTAATTTGGAATTTATGTTCTAACACCTCTTTCAGAAGTGTACACTTGGGGGTACACATGAAGACATGGACATACACCAATTGATTAATGCAATTTATATTTAGTTTCTGTAACAGCATTTAATGAGCCACTGGTAACAGTGTCTCCCAACCTTACGCATATCAGTCACTACTGTATTTTTTTCCTTTTGTTTTTAGAATGTTTCAAGCATTTTAAAATCCCTAGGGGAAAAATAAAAGTGGATAGCTCATATACAAGAGATCTGTAACTGAAAAAAAAAAAAGTTGTGGCTTCAAAGTTACTTCATTTTGTACTAGCTGAAGATCTGCCTAAGAATTTATACAGCAAACATACCAATCTTCAAGCAGTATTATGAAGAGCTTTATCATTTCTTAAGTCAGAGTAATTGGTATGAGAACAAAGAAACTGGGGAAAGAAAAACAACCCTGAGCAATGAATTACTTGTAACGTCTTTTCTCCAGTTTCATGCCCCACAAACGCTCCAGTGGAAAACCAAGAGTGAGAACTAGTGATGGTTCATTCATTATTCCCTGCAGATAGCACCGAAAAATGGTAATTTCTTTAGTACAGCAGTTCAAAGATAACCCAGCCCCAGGTCCACACTGACTCACTCACACAACAGACTTCCCAGCAAGGCAAAAGTAAGGCAAAGGTGGATAGCTCTGTTACCTGTTTTGTGCTGTGCAGAGAGATGAGGGCTCCTTCCCTAAGAAACCTACCCAGAAATGAAACAACCAGCCTCTGGACGGAGACCTGTACAGAAAACCTGCAGCAGAAAACAGCTACATAGATGTTTAAGAGCTTCTAATTCAGTGAAAGGCTCATAATAAGTAATTTTGCGATAACTTTAGAGATTTATAGAAGAGTAAATTAGCTCAAAAAATCAACTCAAAATTTCTTTTACATTTTATCTGTTACTGTCTTCTGGAATTTGTTCTTGAAACGGAACAAATATTTCTGAGTTATTTATTACAAAGAGTATTGGCTGTGAAATCCACACCTTAGTCAGTGCTTGAGTATTTTACACACTGCATTTCCTCCTGTTACATGAAAAAGACAGCCCAAAATGTATTTCAACCCATTGTTCATTTATCATTAGGGGGCAAACCCTGACCCTCAGACTTGGATGTTATATTTTTTAACATGTGAATGTTTAAGCAAAACCTCCTAAGATCAACAAGAGAGTAAACGTGCTTCTGCAATAAGTTTTTTAGAGTGAGATTTGCAGTGAGATTCCCAGTATTGCTTCTGTTTGCAATCCTTGGAAATATTTAACTCCCATCCAACTGGGCACAAATTCTGAACAATGAGACATCCCAACTCATAGTATCTAGAATGCAGATAAATATCTGTCTTGTTTGTTTAGCCTGTTAGCTTATAGGGACAGGGATCATCTCTTGCAATATTTGTACGTGATCAAGTAGAACAGAGACTCTGAACTCTACCTTATACCAAACACTAAGGGTTTTCATGTGGATTTGATGTTCCTTTCAAGCAAATACGGAAATTAAAGGAACACCCAAAGCTCTATCTCAGCCACATTAATCCCGTGAAAGCAGTGACTCACCTAGTAATGGCTTTCCATAAATTAGGCAGCTAAAAAAAGGTAGGAAGCGTGAAACCATTAACAGTTCCTATAGTGTAATTCTCTCACTGCATGTGAAGAAAATCCATGGCAGTAAAAATAAAAGAGATGAAGGTGTCAGCACCCGTCATGTTTAGATCTGCTGTTAATAATTCAAATCTTCCTCCTTTGGAGCGTATGGTTTTAGAATGAATCATTCTCTATTTCCTTTCTCAAATGAAAACTGAGGTTCTGTTGCTCACTAATTCCATATGTTTTCTTCCCAGCTATGAAAAGAGAAGAAATCAATGTGGCCAATTGCATGTGCTGCCAGCATCATCTCACAGGAGTACCCTACTGCAGCAATGTCTTCTGTGCTGACATCTTCCATACCTCAACTCTGAGATGGAAATGATTGCCAATATACGAAAGAAAAGCCATACACAGCTTTGGGAAACAGAAAGAGATGGAAGAGAAGGAGCCACTGCACTTTTGTACCCAGGAATGACCTTTGGGAGTACAACTCCTTTTCACCACACAGAGCAGGTCAGTAGCCCTGGGCCTGGCACAAACAGCATGTGCCAAAAGGCACCACTGTGATTGCTGCTTTGTACAAGTGGAACATGATAAAGGTTGAAAACTGAAATTTTAAGACTGGCATATAAACTTAGCTGCTGAACTAAAATGGCATGGTTAAAAAAAAACAAACAAAAAACCCAACCAAAAAAACCCAACAGTGGTGCCAGACATAAAGTGCACAATTTTCTCAAGACACAAAAAGGACTAAACCAGACTCATTCTCATAGAAAAGGTGGGAGCATCATGGGCTCATACTGAGAGCTGGCAAAGGCCTCAATACTATAAGAGTTCTTGACATACTGCCTAAGTCACCCAATGGCAGCTCTCCAGCTACTCCACTGAAATTTTGTTGGCATCCTACTATCAAGAATTCTGAATGTCAAATATTTAGCTCAAGGTCTCTTATCTTCTCATTTCCAGAGTAATAATGTTTCTGATCAAAACTACACACGATCTTAAAAGAACAGAAGATAGCAATGCTTTGCTATTAATAACTGAATTTTGTACTCATGTTGCTCCATCCCTTCTGGACTGTGCACCCACTGGAATCTATTCCTTTACATAGTTCCTTCTCGTCATACGGACAGTCAAGAGAGACTATTGCTCTTGCAGTTGCTTTAAAACAAGGAGAAAAAAATTCTAGTTTAAAGTGAAATTGTCTAACAAAAAGAAGGGTTTACAATTTTATTTTTAATTAAGTGAACTATATTTAATTTGAAGTTGCCTGTGAGCTGGAAGCAACACAGATCGCCTGTCAGTTTAGCCACTTCTTGGAACAGCACAGGAGCACATACAAAGCACAGGCAGCATTAATGAGGAGAGAGGGCTGGGAGACAAGGATTTACCAGGACCTTAATCTCTCTCTTGCTCCATCTGGTAACCACTCTCGCAGCACACAGCCACAGGCAAAGCACTAAATGCACTCCAGGATTGCTCAGCTCTCCATCAGGTCACTAAGACAGAGGTTACCCACATAAGCAAACTTCTGGTCACTATACAGATCCACTGCCTTTATCAAAACAAACTTCTGTAGACAGAAAGACAAGAGGGATAGGTTGTTTCTTAAAAACTGTGAAAAGGCAAATGAGGAACCGACCCAAGACAGAGGGCAAGCAGGTGTTGCTAAGAAGGACAGGCCACAGATGTTGGGTTTTCTCTCACTGTAGACATCAGTGTCCATCTACGAAACAACCAGCAGGTTTGTGGAGATTCAACCGCTCAAATATACAGAGAAATAAACCACAGGGGTAAGGAGCCACACCTACAGATGTGTGGCTGAGTCCCTCAGTAGATCCACTTTGTAGTTAGTGCAGGTGAACCTCCTCGTGCACGTAAAGCACTGGCACAATTCCCTTGGGACTTTTCCTTTGTGGTGAGCCCCAAGGAAGGAAGGGTGTCCAAATGGGAGAAGTAAGGGGCAGCTTCTGCTCTGCCACAGAAGCCCAGCACAGCCTTGGACAGAGTGACCTGATCCCATCCTCCTGAGAGGCATTTCAAACTTCTGATCCCCACTGATGTGCATGCCACTGAGATCTTTGAGGGTCTTTGTACCTCAGCTTTAGTTTTCTGTTTCTGCATGATCGTGAGGCATCAAATGCTGCAGCAGTGCAGAAGGCACACAGATACCTACAGCAGTACAGATGATCTTTGGTAACAGTAACGTGAACAAAAGTTTTTCTAGAGCTCTACACCCATAAATATTTCCTAGCTCACCAGATGGGTTTCTGCCTTTTTTTTCTGAGATAAACTCCATACATTTTTGACCCTAGCAGGAACTACTCAGACTATTAAAGTGACTTTAAGAATTATTGCAATTACATCAGTCTTGTTTCAGTCTGAGAGGGTCTGTTTGCAGTACAAGGTGCATTAGGCTGTAGTCACCAGCACAGAGCACTGCAATAGAGCAGGAATTCAGGACTGCAACTCCAAGGCTACCTTGACACCACATAAGTGGATGTTGCACTAGACATAAGGAAAAAAATCCCTATTCCCACTAATAGCCCTTTAGCTAGAATGTATAATCTTAAGTACTTAGATAGTCATCTAACTATCCTTTATCTCCAACAAAACCCCCACTCTTTCCTATTTCCCTCTTTTATGTTTGAACCTACTATTTTCTCCAGGTATTTTTTTACCTTGTCATAATCCATTAACTTCATGTGCTTTGATCTTTCCATAGGGAATTTATTTTCTCTCTTCAAAGATCTTTTCTAGTCAGACGATATTTTTCCCAGTCCATAGCTTCTGTTCCGTTCACATGTCACAGCATGACTGCTTTTTTTTCTGCTTTTTTCTTTTTATTTTTTCAATTTGTTAGCATTTAAGAAATCAAATTTCAAATCAGAAGCAAGCCAGCAAACTTTATTCCTAATGGCACAAGGTATGGCTCTGATGAGAAATCTAAAAGACACATAGTGTGCACACACTGCTGGAGCAAATTTGCTCCACAAAAGGGTTTGTGAGGCAGAGTAGTCCAATAGAGCAGAGATATTCAAAGGTAGTCAGTTAGTCATAGATCAAGGGTGAGGAAAGAGGCAAAAAGGAAAGAGCAAGGCAGAGATGGTTATGATTTACCACAGTAACCCACTTTCCATGCACCTCACCGGACCAGTACATCTTTCGTTCCACCAGGGTCACGTCATTAAAACATGTTGCTCCCCTGTTTCTCTCACCACTTAACTGGTACTTAATACCACCTGTATCACCAAACACCAGCACGTTTGCAGGTGAAAATGAATAGCACAAGCCACCAGCCTGGAGCCACTTTCCCAGCCAAACACTGGCTAAGGGCTCTTTCTTACAGTCTGTTTTTTCACCCAGTACTTTGACAGAAAAAACATTTAAGAAGAGGACCAGAGTCTTAATTTCTTTTAAAATATCAGTTTCTGGAGCATTGTGATGGAGACGCAATCCCACACTAACTCAATTCGGTGCGATAATTTTGGAGTATATCAGCAAAGGGAAGACATTCATTAAAGCTCTGAGACAATCATAAGAATGCAAGAGAACTACATAAATCATTTTTACTCATTTATGCTACTGAATATAAACCAGGATGCTCTATCTTCTCTCTTAATTCCCATTAACAGTTGTTAATTCTGAAGGAAAAAAAATCCATTAAATATATGCTATACAGCTATATTTGCCTTAGTTCTCCAAGATTTTAATTCTTCTTTGGCTCAGTTGTCAATATTTACACAGTGTAAATCTGTGCAGTGCTGAGGTTGCCAGTATTCCAAGAATCATTTTGCTTTACTTAACTGTGTATTACAGATTTGGGACAAAGAGGAAAGAGAAAGCTGCTGGATGCATCCTCTTCTACCTAGTGTGGTATTATACAGTCCATGACCTTCAGCTTTCATGAACAGGTCTAGTTCCTGTGGAGTCAACAGCCACACACTGTCCTTCTATGAAATGTATTCTCAATTTCTCTGATGCTATAGACACATGACTTAAAACAGTTGTTAACTGGTTTGTTGCCATTAAAGTTGCTGTGAAGGATATCTCCTCACAGAAAGGATGAGCACCAACAACATGTCCTCTGTAAAGCAAACAAGAAACAAGTACTCTTCAAACGGGGACAAGAGCCACCCCGATGGCCTGGAGACAAGACCCCAAAGACAAGATGCTAGGTTCCAACATCTGAATTTGTCAAACAGCTTCTCCATTTTGGATAGTCTGAACAATAAACAAAACAAATTGCCTATCCCAAAACAACCCATCTAATGCACACATATGCAGAAAATATCAGCCTCTCAGGGCTCTATTTCCAAAGACAGAGCAAAACACCGAGTTGTCAAATAGAACATGCTTTGCATCATAATGCTCATATGCAGAACAGCCCTTGCACAGCATCATGGAAACTTCCAAACTAAGCCTTCTCTACACACATTTGCACAGAGCAACTGTCATTGGAAACATCAGCAATTTGAAAAAAAAAATCTGCATGCTCCTAGGCAGAGGTGTTTGTTCCTGTGCTGAGTATCTTCTCACCTAAAAATCTCACACTTCTTGTGGAGTATTAATATCTTCTCTCCTAATCCTTCTAAGGTTAACTTACTTGTCCTTTTGATCTCTGAGTTAAGCCTCCTGAGCATTTATCTGACTACACCCAAGAGCAAGTTCTATATAAAATCTGTGTTGTACTTGGAAATACAAAATACATTACATTCTGGGAAAGTAAAGGCTCCTCAAGAAGAACCTGTCTTGGTTATGGCAGTAACTATAAGAAATTCCCAGTTCCAAACACCCTCCATTACTTTAGTGACTGACTAAACAAAGTCCTTGAATCTTTTTTTTATTTCTTCCCTGTGTTCCACTTCGCAGATAGGAGGACAGAGATAGCTCTGATTTCTTTCTCTGTGCAATAGAGGCAATGTGATGTCTGATGTAACAACGGGTTGAACATCCCAGTTTGTCCTCGTGTCCTCTTCATTCTGTCTCTCTGTAGCTGCTACAGGGTTCATGTACAAACAAGGGTTAGCGGTAGAAGCAATGGTATTGCCCAGGGAATAGTTCCTGCACAGGGACATTTATCTTGTTGCTCCATTTTTAGTAGAACAAAGATCTTACTTCTCTTTGCTGCACTCCCAGTGTACACGTTCAGTACAGAGACAGTCAGCCTTTGTCCAAAGAGCTCTTTAACTGGAAAGGATGGTTTAACATGCCCGCCCCTCTACCTCTGCATGTACATAGCAAGAATATCTAGAGTCCTAGTAGCTAATTAAAGGAGTTTGAGAAAGAAAGCTTTGCTTAAAATTTCAAGTCTCTATTACAAGCTAGTATTGTGCTGTTTGCTAGGTCTGTTGAGAGGTCACACCACCTCTCATGTGCCTGGTACAAGCGCTGAGGCACCCAGGATGCTGTCGTGTGAGATGTGAGGTTAGAGTAAAAAAAGCCTTCTCCATCCTGACAATTCTCAGTTTTCTGTACTTCTCCTGAAAGAAGGATTTACAAGTTTGGAGCTT